TCAATATAAACTGAGCAAAACCTCTCAATTTTATAATGCTTAAACAAGAGTTCTAATACCACAATTTTTTTCTTGCCATCCAATATTTGGGGAAAGGAAGAGGAAGAAGAAGTAAGAGTAAAAAAGATTTCAAGGTTGCCAATAGCTATTTTTAAGACAGAAGGTGTAATTATGCAAATAAATGGTAAAATTTCTCCTTCCTTCTTACAAATGAAGGTTGCAGAAGAGTGTTTTGTTCCCTACCTCAGACACCTGCTACAAGGACCAACTCTGCAACAATCAATAAAAAAAATAAAAAACAACTAAAAAACTCATGTGTCACATTCAGGTAATGGAATTAATTTGAATTTTACTGGCTTATCCATTTAGTATGTATTCCAAATTTGTTTTGTATTAATTTGTGCAGGAACTCCAATTATAGGAATATTGTCCTTACTTTTATGTTTGCACATATTTAAATATCACTACAATAAAACACCCAGACAATAAAAGGGATATATGGGATGTTTCTCCCTTTAAAGAGTGTCTGACATTTTTCAAGTTTGCAATTCTGTGCCTGAGGAGATATCTGTGACATTTCCTTACCAAGCAGCCAAGAATTATTCCTCTTAATTCATAATTTGACACATTTTCTTAATTAGGAATCTCTCATTCTGTGTTTGGTTTTATGAATATAACGGACTCCAGAAGGCCACACAGTGCATAAAGCTCTCTCTGAGTCTGCCATTGCAGACTATGTGGTTCAAACATTGTAGGATACAGGGTGGTGGAGGCAGGCTTGATACCAGAGGAGTCCATACGTAACAGCCATGTGCCTGTAGACTAGAACTGACACCTGGACACCTGAACACAGGAACACAGGCCAGGCCTGGAGAAGGCACTGAGGGATGGCGGCTCCTTCTTACTGTAAGACTCTACTCAGCAGGCTGTGTAAACAGAATCATACATATTTTTATTATAAAGTACATGTGACACGTATTTAGATACAAGTAAAAAGAAATCTCATTGCAGAGGAGGTGTGTTTACAGTGGGCAGTGACACTTTATTACATTTGTTCCAAGTGCACAGAGCAAAGTCAGAAGGGAAGTACTTGAAAACATGCAGTTCTACCAAATAGAAAAGGACACATGGCTTTTCATAGCAATGCATTTCTTAGTTAAGTCCTGGTGTGGCATTGTGGGCTAATGCGTCAGACTGCAAAGTCGTTTGAACTGCAAGGTTGGTGGTTCAAGCTCACTAGCTGCTCCTTGAAAACCCTATATAGGGTCGCTATGGGTTGGAATCGACTCAACAGCACTTAACAACAGCACCAAAGCTATAACTAGTACTGAAAAACAACTTCAGCAGAAAAAAACAAGAAACAAACCTGTCATTTAGGTACACAAGTTTTTTTTCTTCTCCCATTTGGATTACAAGAGTCATTTCAGGACTCCATTTTGTTGATATATGAAGGAGAGCGAATAAACTGATTCTAAACCCTAGTGGGGACTAACTTCCAGATCAGGAGCAGCCCAGTAGTGTCAATTAAAATCTATGACAGCCTGGCTTTATAGATGGCAAGCAAATGAATTATTCAGGGCATAAATAAGGTTTATTATTTAAACACACTGTGGCACAGAGTACAAAAGCATTGGTGACCTAATCAGAAAACCAGAGGCAGTCCTTAAAGACATTTTATAAACCTGACTGGGCCCAAGCTGGACATTAGGGAGGAGCATGAGCCTGAGAACAAGTTCATGTGAGAAGAGTTGTGGTGGTTATGTGCCGTGGAGTCAGTTCCAACTCATAGCGACCCTGTATAGGGTTTCCGAGGCTGTAAATCTTTATGGTAGCAGAAAGCCTCATCTTTCTCCCACAGAACAGCTGGTAGTTTCGAACTGCTGACCTTAAGGTTCACAGCCTGATTCGTAACCACTATGCTACTGGAAGCAAAGAGGTCTTTCTTAAAAATGATGTTTGACTCAATTAAAAACAACAAAACTAGATACTTACTTGATTTACAATTTCCTGAAGTAGTCTGACATCTTCTTCTCGAGACCCAGTGCTCTTTTCGAGTTGCAGGTGAAACGCAGGAGAAAATGACTCCCCCACTACTTTTAAGCCAGAAATGCTGAAAAAAGGACACACACACACGCACACACACATATACATAAATCCCCTGTCAAAGGTAGCTGACATTTAAGTAACTCTTAAGTGCTTGCTGTATGCAACAGAAAAATGTGACTTTTCTGGAAACACGTAGCAACTGTAGTGGATTTCCTTTCTTTTTTTTGCTGAAAAAGTGAATTTATTATATAAATATGTGAACTCTAAAATGAATTATTAAAGGATTAACATTAAGCTGATGAGCTGGTAGCAACTAGGAAACAAAAACTTTTTGCATTACATTCAAATCTCAACATCATTTCTTATTTGCTTGAAGAAATATACAACTCAGTATTTCCTTTCATCTCCATTCATATGTCCTTTATATTTACTTTTTCTCCACACTTGTTTTTATGAGAACTTGATAATACAACAAGATAGGGTTAACTTCTGCATAAATTTCCACATAGGCTTGTTGCATTTTTAGCTAGAATCCTCTCAAGTTCTATGGAACCAGTCATCTTGCCATATGTATCTTGGTTGTCAAAGAGCAAGAGAATTGAAGTTAAGAAATCAATACCTATATATCTGTAATCTTTAAAACAGAAGATATTTGTTAGATATTATAAGGATCACTTCCTCTTAATGAAGGTATAAGGAGTGAAAGCACACTAGACTAGATATTCTGTAAATCATAAACCTAGTTGACCTTGATACAATGTTTTATTAACTGATAAACATATCTATTTCATCAAATAACTGTCTGCATTCAGTAGTAGCTAAGTTGTTCTGGATACTGGGCATACAATGAGGATCAAGAAAAAAATATTCCTGGCTTTCTTTAAAAACAGAATTTAATAAGAGGAACAGATAATTAAATAACTGCAAGTAAGTATGATGTTAAAAAAGGAAGGCTACAATAGAAATGCAAAGCATGGATGTTCAAAATGGTCTAGGGACTGGAATACAAAGAGGACCTTTCAAGTAAGTAACATCTAAGATTTCCTTTCATTCTAATTCTGGCTCACTTTGTTCCTTCCATTGACTTTCTTTCTATCCTTTAATAACTCAGAGCTGTTTCCTTTCTTGAAATGTTTTTATTCCAGTTCCCAATCACCACTCAATTCTCAAAGAATGCCCACATAGAGGAAAATTTCTTATCATCACATGTGTAGGTGTCTGAAATGACCTTCATTTATAATTGGTTCAACTAATGTCTATTTCATGTCGTAGAATCTGAGCTTCAGGAGGGCAGTTGTTGTTAAGTGCCGTTGAACTGATTCCGACCCATAGTAACCCTGTATAGGGTTTCCGAGGAGCAGTTGGTGAACTTGAACTGCCGACCTTGCAGTTCAAATGCTTTGCAGTCTGGTGCATTAACACACAGTGCCATACCAGGGCTCCTTCAGGAGGGTAGAGCCTTTTAAATCTACTTAATCACTTTTTAGGAGCTCTGGTAGCGTAGTGGTTACGAATCGGGCTGCGAATCGGAAGGTCAGCAGTTCGAAACTACCAGCTGCTCCGCGGGAGAAAGATGAGGCGATATGCTCCCGTAAAGATTTACAGCCTCGGAAACCCTATTCAGGGTCGCTATGGGTCGAAACCGACTCGACGGCACATAACAACAACAACAATCACTTTTTAACGATAGAAACCTCACTGTAATCAATACTTACTTGTTGAATAAATATGTATGACATAACTACCCTCCAACATGTCTAGAGAATAAAATAAAAAATTAACAGTGACAAAAATTCCTCTTATTTACATATTTTCAAAATACAAAGTCAGTTTATATCTATTATGTATGAAGGAAGGCTGGCATGCCTGTTGAAGCACTAGCTTAGGTAGATGAAGTGGTTTTTTCAAGGTCACACAGATAGTACATAAATAGTGAAGTTGGAATGGGAGCTCAGACCTTAAATGTACAATGGGGCTTTTACTACAGTAAACAGAAACAACAACTTAAAGAAACTCCTTGATACTTAACTTTGCTTCACAATCTTAGAACATAGGTTGGTACTGGCTGAACTAAATGGAGCATGACTTCTTGTTGTACTGATCAATATGCAGATTCTTAAGTCAACGAAGCAGAGTGGAATATGGAAGCAGTTAATACCCAGTGAATCAGGGGTTTAGTCAGATTGGAAGTATTTGCAGCAGGAAGGATGCAATACTTCTTGGGAGTTGGTATGAGGTCTTAGGTATAGTCAGTAAGGTCATCATATGTAGGTAATACTGGCCATTTGTAAGAATCTCTGGAAGATGGCACTTGGCCACTCTGTGTTATAAATGGTGGTATCCACATTGACTGATGTTTGTATTATGAGGTTCATTTCTGGGGAGACTTGAAATATAGTGTAACTTGCTGACACTGAGCAGGTCATTGTAGAGAGCTTGTGGCATGACAGCAAGAGATGAATGAATCCACTCATCAGGATAGAGTCATTGGTCCACTGACTGCAGCAGTAGCTACGTTGTGTGCATGCATGCTGTTATAGATACGCTGATGACAATGGTAGGACCTCTAGAAGTTAGGAAACAGATTTACATTCATCATAGCAAAAAGCCTATGATTGTTTGCAGACCAAAGAAATTGCTTTAAGTTGTATAACTATATAAAACTAAAGGAGCTCTGGTAGTGTAGTTGTTATAAATTGGGCTGCTAATCTCAAGGCCAGCAGTTCGAAACTACCAGCAGTTCCGCGGGGGAAAAGATGAGCATCTTGAAAATCAGCCACTGGTATTTTCAGAAGCAGCAGTAGGCGTGTGACAAAAAGGCTTAGTCATAGAAGTTGGAGGTGGATTTGATTCTGATGGAGTGACTGGCATAAACACAGGAGTGCCTGTTAACGTCTGTAGGGTTAGGAAGGTGACATGGGACAACAGCTTATCAATCTTTATATTCAAAGATGTTAAGCTTATGTTAAGAGCTGCGATAATGGCTATAATGTTATCAAAGTCTTCTTTAATATTACTTCTAATACTTCTAATTTGATGGTCTTTGGAGAGATCATCAGAATCCTTGGACCCTAGTTTTTCACTCTTTCTATTTGCACTTTTCATGCTGCTCATGGGTCCTATTACCAGGCTCTGCTACGAGATTTGGTGTTGCAAGTGCCATTTCTTGGCTTTCCAAAGATAGAGGTGAATACTTCAGCACAGTGGGTTCTGTTGACATTATTAGTGCTTTGCAGTGGTGACTTCGGCATGGTTTTATTGACCCTAATAGTTGTAAATCTTAGAATCTTGTTGAATGCTTCAAAATGAGACCTTTTAACTGTGTATTTGTTTATAGTAGACCTTCATATACAGCATTTGTTCTTAAAGCCATGTCACTCAGTCTTCAGTCTTCATCAATTCACTAAAAACGCTCTTGTTATGGTCACAAACTCCTCCAATTTGCAACCCCAATAGTGATTTCTCAGTCTTCACTTCCTAGCTCTGGTATTCCAATTTTGACAACAAAAGGTACCAATACAGACTCGGGTGGTGCGTCCTATTCTAGGAGAAGCCACTACAATGCTGCTTCTGGGAGCCAATCACTGGATGGAAGGCACCTTGCTCCTGGGAGATGGTCTCTGTAGCTCATTTCACAGAAAAGCACAGGTCATGCTCAGCCCTCTACTAGCAAGCCTACTCGGCTCCATTACCTTCACCCCAAGGGCTTTGCCCAGAGTGCTTCCTCTGCCTGTACTCACCATGACCCAGTCATGGTTCCAGTTACATTCTTAGAGGGGTTTCCCTCACCATCCAATCTAGAGGAGTGTCTGCTCTGTCTTAGATTCTATTATTGGCCATGTTTGTTTCCTTCACAGACATATATTTTCTTCTTGGGCTACTTACTTACTACAAAAAATTGTATTTTTTCCTTACTTATTATGTAAATTTTGAGTTTGTATCATCTTGTGTTTTCACAAATTATGGGGATGAGCTAACATAAACAATTTTATATTTTGATCACCAGCATAAGTTTAAATCTGTTGCTTCAAAGAAGACATGTTTTTTGGGGGGTTGTTTTCAAATGATTACAACAGAGGTCATGAGAATTATATGACATATGATTTAACCAGGTTCCTTTAAAGCATATTTTATCCAACCATGAAAATACTGTATGTTTTCTGATTTATCTCCTAGGACTTGAATGATGTCACATGCCAATTTGAAATTAAGCTAAGTAGATTGTTTCACCTAGAAAATCTCTTTGTTCCTAAGAATGAAACCAACACAAAAAGTGTTAGCAGTGTATTTGATTCCTCCAGTTCAGGACTCTCCATGTTTTTCCTGAATGACTATCATGTGCCATGCACTTTGCTAGGTGCTGGATGCTACTCACCTGCCTTTCAAATAATCTGCATGCATCATTAATTAGTGTGCCCTTTCTTGAAATGTACATGCCATGCTAAAATCTCTCAGTAAACTGGGCTTCAGATTTGTATCATGGAATCATTGAATCTAGGGCTTCTGGAATGTGAGGGAACCTTCTAGATTAGTTCTTTTACTACTGTAGAAACATGCCATATACTTTCAAAACTTATTTTCTATGTAAATTTTGGCCGTTTTAAACTTGTACACAAAATAATTTTCTTCAAACATCATGTACTCTCAGAGATGATGGTGGTTATGTGCTGTGGAGTCAGTTCCAACTCAGAACGACCCTGTACAGGGTTTCTGAAGCTCTAAATCTTTAAGGCAGTAGAAAGCCTCATCTTTCTCCATTAAAGGACACAAAAGAAAATTAAAGTAAGTGGAGAGATCATGCTCATGAATTGTAATACCTTTCAAATTAATCAGATAATTTAATGCAATTCCAATGAAAACTCCAGCAATAGTTTTGGAGGAACTTGAAATTTCTTCAAAACATATATGGCAATAACATATATGGTAGCAAGAACAGATACACTAATAAAACCAGAGTCTAAAGCTTGAGTAAAGATCAACCTTTAGTTTTCTCTTTCTCATTCACTCCACATATGAACGTAGCTGGTTTTATCTTCAAAAAATGTATCTTTTTCTAGACTCCAAGCCCTTCTCTGCTACTATGAAGTTCAGAGTCACCATCATCTTTGGCTGCATCATTACAACAATGGCCTATCTGGTCTCCTTGCTTCTGTCTTTTCCATCACATAATCTAGTTTTTCATACTATAGTAAAAGTAATTTTGTGCAGATATAAATTAATACACATTATATCATTCCTTTGCTCAAAACCAGACCATGGTTTATTATTTGAGAATACGGGACACAAGGCTCTTGCCTTGGCCTACAAGATCTGAATGGCCTAGTTTCCATTTACCTGGCCCTATTTTACTGGATTCCCTCCCTCTCATGCCTCTTATAACACTGGACTCTCCTTGCTTTTGGTTTACTGTTCTGTCTGGATTCCTGCATTTGCTCCTACACATTCTAAGTGGTTAGTGTGAACTGACTGTGGATGCATGCAAATGTAGACCTGAGTAGGCAACTGAATGTGAAACCTGGAGCGCCTGGAATGGTATAGATTAGAGACACAACGTATTATACCACCATTACCATCGAATGGATTTTGACTCACAGTGACTCGTAATGGACAGAGGAGAACTGCTCCATAGGGTTTCCGAGACTAAACGTTTAAGGGAGCAGAAAGCCTCATCTTTCTCACGTGGGGTGGCTGGTTGGTTTGAACTGCCTACCTTGAGGTTAGCAGCCCAACTTAAACCCATTATACCACCAAGGCTTCTTACAACATATTATACTGTTGTTGCTGTTAAGTGTTGTTGAGTCAGTTCCGATTCATAGTGACCCTGTATAGGTTTTCTGATGCAGTAAATCCTGTGGGAGCAGAAAGCCTCATATTTCTTCTACAAAGCAGCGGGTCAGTTTGATCCACTGATCTTGTGGTTTACATTCTAGTGATTAATATAGCCACCATGCTACCCCCACATTATATAGGTGTTATGAAATGATGGAGGGAAGAAGGCAATTCTTCAAGTAGATAACAAACAAGGACAGAGGACTAGGACTAAGCCCTGAAAGAAAGCCTGCAAAGGAGACCAAGGTAAAGTAATCCAAAGAGGAAGACGATAAACCAGAAGTGTGGTGTAGCAAATTTCAAGTAAAGAACCTCAGGAAGGAAGGAGTGGCCAAAGGTGCTAACAGTGATCAATGGACTAACCAAGGTCACTGGTGACCTCTACAGAAACAATTTGGGTAAAGCATATGGGTAGATGCCAAATTTCAGTAGTTTCAAGAGTACATGAGATATAAAGATGTGGAGAAAACAAACAGCTCTTGAAAAGTTTAAAGGGAAGCAGAGACATGAGGTAACTGCTAGAGGGAAACGTAGGGGCATGGGAGGGGGATTTAAAATGACAGAGGAGAGTGTGATTGCTGGTAAAATGTCTCAGGAGTGATGACAAAGGAGAGGAGAAAACCAAAAGCACTTAGTCCATAAGAAACCTCTTACAGACTCTTCAGCTGTCACAGGAGGGAAAACTGGTTTAGATTTGGTCGATTCCTGTATGTGTATAGATTTGAGTGTTCCCAGGTGACATCATGAAGCAAGGATATCAGCTGAAGGTGGGTGGAGTAAATACAGAGGGCTAAAGAATGGGGAGAAAACAAACAGCGTGAAACAGTTGGGGAAAGTGGAACACTAAACTAAAAAGGAACATAAACACTACCCAACAGAGTGAAGGGCATTGAGGATGGTGGTCATGAATTTACAGTGACTCCAATATGCCATGGGAATGTTAGTGCATGAATATTTCATGCAACCAATGTACTGAAACCAATACAAAGAATATCTCTGCTATAAATCATACAGGAACTTTTGTTACCATTATATGGACACACCCAGAACTTTCATTACTCCTTTATCTGGAACAGCTGTGATCTACTCATTGAGCAACTCTTCTTTTCTTTTCATAAAGTCTCTAGGTTCCCTGTCTGGTAATAAAGAGATGGACTTTCATGACCAAAAAATATGTTTGATATTGTTGTTGTTATGTGCCGTGGAGTTGGTTCCAACTCATATCTACCCTGTACAGGGTTTCCGAGGCTGCAAATCTTTACGGGAGCAGAAAGCCTCATCTTTCTCCCGTGGAAGAGCTGGTAGTTTTGAACTGACCCTGAGGTTCACAGCCTGATTTGTAACCATTACGCTACCAGAGCTCCTTATGTTTGATATTAAGGAGGGAAAAATACATAGCTGGGGCAATGTAAGATCATATTCTTTAAGACCAGAAACCTGCCTCAAAATTTCCTCAACTCTAGAGGAATCTTAAAGAGCTACCTTTTTATAGTTTAAAAAAACAAAACAAAAACTTTCATAATGTACACTTCAATTTCACTTGTTCCTTTTTCTGGTGTTAATTTAAATAAAACAGAATTTAGTAATTTATTAAAAAGTAACATAGTATGAACCCAACAATTTAATTATATAACTAAATTCTATCTGGGTAGATGGGAGAGATTCTCCAGTGTTTACCCAGTCTATTTCTAATGGTTAAGATTTTAGGTGAGTTGCTACCTCCATATTTGTATCTTCTCTAGTGCTATAATATTTTATTAATGAGCTTGTTACATAATTTTTACAAAACAAATCCTTAATCCTTTAAAATAACAGCAAAACAGATAAGGTTTTACACAAATATACCAATTTGAGTGAAGCACTTTTTCGTTTCTTAGTTTCAAGTCAATCAAACTGACTTGAGCCTATCAAATGTTCTCAAAACCAAAGAGGTTTTCACTAGTTCTTCAATGTGATGCAGATAAGCTTTAAATTGGTGGAAAATACATAAAACTTACCCTTGTAAAGCTTTATGAATCTGTATGCATTTTTCCTTCAATACTGCAAATATGCCTGAATGAAAAAAATAAAACAAAAAAATTTTGATTGGAACATTTGTACAATTAATCTAAAAATATTCTCAAATATGTAGCTCAAGCTTATCAGTTTAAAATGTGGCAAATCCTTCCATATATTAATAACTTGTAACCAGGCCTGAAAGCATTCATCTTTGGCCCTTAGGAACAGGTGCTTGCTGGTCTACTTTCAGCAAAATCTGAGATAATATCTTCCAAGCAAAACAGTGACCCTTACTCTGTTAAGAATCTACAGGTAGACACATGGACAGATACACAGGTTGAATGGGTATGGGAGGGAGAGTGCAAGTATACCCACACATATATATGGATTTGAAAGACAGTATTTATACATGGATATTTACTTTTGCTGCAAACATACCAATGGATGTGGTAGACCACGTTGTGGTGGTGTTAAGTGCCGCTGAGGCAGTTCTGACTCATAGCAACCCTGTATAGGGTTTTCGAGGAGCAGCTGGTAGTTTTGAACTGCCGACCTTGAGGTTTGCAGTCCATGGATGACACAGGGGCCAAAATGATGAAAACTTCTTAAACATTACCATACACCTTGAGGCAACCAACTGCAGGGAACACTCAGGGAACACCATGGTCAACTGGCATACAAGCTTCACAAAGACAATGTTCTATAGCCTACTTTGGTGAGTAGTGATTTGGGATCTTAAAAGTTCATGAGCAGCCATCTAATGTGCAATGGTTGGTCGGTCCATGTGCAAAAGAAAGGAGTGATAAAAACTGAAGACACTTGGAATCAGGCCAATGGACTAATGGAACACATAAACTACAGTCTCCATGACCCTGAGACTGTAAGAACTAGATGGTGCCCAGCTGCTACTACTACCAATTCCTCTGAAAGGGATCCTAGATAGGGTGGGAGAAAATGTGGAATAAAACTCAAAAGTTTCATAAAAGAAAGAAAAAGACTGGCTTACTGGTCAGAAAAAGACTATGGTCATTCACCACCCTTCAGGTCTGGAATGGAATTCACTCTGCTGGCTCAATTTTCAGCCAAGTGGTAGATTCGAATGGTCAACCATTCAAGATCAAAAGAAAAACATTTACCAAAGGACAAAGTTCAGAAGAGTTAGAAGGGGAGTGCAACAGAAATAAGAACCACCGAGGAAGTGGGATAACTGGTTACATGGAGGGGACTGCAACTATTGAAATGTAACCAAGTATGTGATTTGTTGACTGTGGAACTGATGATGTGCTCTGTAAACCTTCACTCAATTCACAATAAAAAGTTAAAAGCCAATGCTCACTCTAGAGAACAAACAAGATGGAGGATCGGGTGGAAGTTCAGTAAAGGAGCTCCGCCAACAACAACACAGAATACCCAACCAAGCAGGCTCAGGGGATGGTCCCAGAACTCTGAACCACAAATAAAGGAATATTTAGAAGGTTGGAAGGCTCACAGCTGGGGGAATTTGTGGCAGAAGCAAGAAATCCATTGCTTTCTAGTCCGGGATGCTTGGCTGCTCCAGGAGCTGCCATCTTGGGTGAGACCAAGAGGGGGAAGGATCGGAGTGGCCACAGATGCCTGGCAGAACCGAGATAAAGGTGTTGACATTCTTTTCTTTTGGTATCTGTTCCTTGGTCCCTTGCTATCTGCACACCTCAATTCTGGTGACTACAGGGGTGCCTGAGCTAGTGGGCACTCCAGCCCCACCCTCGAAGGGCTCTACTACGCACGCGCACAGATCTCCTCGAAATTTAAAGAGACAGTTTCCAATTAAAACCAAACGGCCACAGCCGGCCATGAACTGTTTCCAACGAGAAAAAAGGCCTGAACAGGGATTGTGGAACGGGACAAGCAGACAAAAGAGGAAACAGGATAAAAATTAATTCCTAAGTTACATCAAAACGACCAACAGTGCTATCTTGAAAATTCTCAGGAAGAAAAGTGAAAACGGAAGCCTATTTCCTGATCACATCTACCTGGAAACTTTCAGAAAGCATTAAAAAATACCAAAATACATACCCATCTAAGTATTAAGTCCACACATGACCCCTGAAGATGCCCAAAAAACAGAAGCAGATGACCGTATCTGCACATGTCCAGAAACGAGATAAAGTGACTGAGGCAAATGAGCTGGAAGGAGACCTACACTCCATACTAGAAGATGGGCAGGCTTTGGAAATGCCTGAGAAGGAATTCCTAAAAATGATTATAAAAGGTATCAAAACACTATACAATGCAGTGAGAAAAATAATGAAGAAGTCAGGAAAGTGCTACAGGAACAATCAAATAAGATAGATAGAGCATTGGAAACAATTCAAAACCTACAGAAAGAGGTCCAAACGATTAATAATAGAATAACAGAAATGGACAATACATTGAAAGGACAAAGGAACAGAACTGAAGAGATAGAAGCTAGAAGATAAATCTCTCAACACTACTAAGATAGAAGACCAAATATAAAAAAGGATAAAAAAATCCAAAGAAGGCCTAAGATTCATGTTGGATAACATGAAGAGGAATAACATAAGAATTATTGGCATTCCAGAACAGGAACAATCACACAAAAGTCAATGCTCACTCTAGATCTCTCTATTATATCATTAAAAAAGAAAAAGAAAAGTAAAAAGAATCTACAGATAATCTGGCTAAGAGGATCAGGAATAAAAGGGTATGAATCTATTATAAATATCTCTGGACTCTAAACAATTTTGTAAAAAGTAGACACTATAGTAAATTTTATACTGTTTCCTTTTGTTCAAGGAAAATAAAATAAAATTAAAAAACAAACCTAATGCCACCTCCAATAATTGGAATGTCAGGTCATATGAAAACATAGATATGAAAATGTACACACATATACCCACCTACAAGTTATAGAAAATTTTGAAGACGTACTGGGTATAGCCTGCTTCTCCCTTTGTTTTTAGCTTCCATCAAAGCTAAAGCCACATTTTAATTCACAGTTGACTTTATTTTGCCTGGGTTGAGTTATTAACCTATAATTAAAATTTTTATTCTAGCCAAGCAATTTTCACCAGACTGTTAGTTCTGGTGTGGCACTGCAGGATACACACTGGAATGCTAACTGCAAAGTCAATGGTTCAAATCCACCAGCTGCTCCCTGGAAATCCTAGATAGGGTTGCTATGAGTCGGAAAGATTCAATGGCAATAACAGCAACATTAGCTAAAAAGAGTTCTAGTAAAATTTTGTTCATAAGAAAAAGTTGGGCTTCAAACTGAATGTACAGTAAATGAATAGTAAAATGAAATCCTTTGAAAGGAGGCAAACAATTATTCAAAGTTTAAATTTTCTTCCTTTTAAAAAAATGAAAAGCAAGTTCATTTCCCCCCACATTTCTTTATAGAAGACTACTCCTGGAATATTTAAATAAAAAAGAGAAGCTCAGAAAAAAATTTTGTTTAAAATCTTTTGTTGGCACACGAGGAACATAAATAATGTCACTGAATTATACACATAAAACTGGTTGAAATGACTAATGGTTTGCTGTATTTCACTACAATTATAAAAACAAACAAGTTTTGGGAAGAGGGCAGAGGCAATGAGTACAAAGATATGTTGAATTATTCTGTTGTAAAACGTATTTCTGGTTTAACAACTTTGTATCTATTTCACACAGATATAAATTGAAGTTGTTTGTTAGAAAGGTACATCATCTGAAAAAGGGGTATCGTCTGGAAATTAGGAAATCTTTTGCCAACGATTTCACAAGTAGGCAGTTGAGTTATGTCACTTTTCTGATCCCTGGTTCCTTTATCTTCAAAATATGGCATTACATTATTTATGTAGTTTCAGTAAGGGTTTTTATTTGTTCCTATTATTCGGTATTATGGAATACCGAAAGTAAATGGAATAGCATTTCCTTAATGATGACTATTCAGTCATCATTATCAAATACCTGACTTAAAAAAAAAAAGAGTTGACATTTTATGTATGCACATACATATATTTATTCCTGGTATGCCTTATAGGATAAGCACTCGACCTCAAGGTCAGTTTGAACTGCAAGGTCAGTGGTTCTAACTCACCAGTCACTCCTCAGAAACCCTATACAGGGTTGCTATGAGTCAGAAGTGACAAAATGGCACCTAATAACAATATCTATGTATCTATCTATCTACATACATACATACATATATTACTTACTTACATACATATACATGTTGTTGTTGTTAAGTGTTGCCTAGTTGGTTCCGACCCATAGCAACCCTGTATAGGGTTTCCGAGGAGCAGATGGTGCACTTGAACCACCGATAGTGCAGTTCAAATGACTTTGCAGTCTGGCGCATTAACCCACAATGCCATACACACACACACACACACACACACACACACACACATATAAAATGATGTTGTTGTTGTTAGGTGCCATAGAGTCAGAACTGACTCATAGTGACCCTATGCACAACAGAACGAAACACTGCCTGGTCCTGGGCCAACCTCACAATTTTTGCCATGCTTCAGTCTACTGATGCTGCCATATTGCCAATCCATCTTGCTGGGGGTCTTCCTCTTTGTTTCTGACCCTCCATCTTACCAAACATGATATCCTTCTCTAGCAAGTGGTCCCTCCTGACAATATGTCTGATGCATGAGAGACGAGGTTTGACCATCCTGGCCTCTAAGGAGCACTCTGCTGCACTTCTTCCAACACAGATCTGTTGGTTCTCTTGGCAGCCCATGGCACTTTCAATATTCTCCTCCAACATCATCAACTCAAAAGCATCAATTCTTCTACGATCTTCTTTATTCACTGTCCAGCTTTCGCATGCATACGAGGTTACTGAAAATACCATGGCTTGGGTCAGGCACACCTTAGTCCTCAAGCTGACATTTTTGCTCTTCAACACTTTCAAAAGGTCTTGTGCAGCAGATTTGCCGAATGCAATAAATATGTTGTTTGATTTCTTGACTGCTGCTTCCATTGAGTGTTGATAGTTGAATCAAGAAGAATGAAGTCCTTGACAACTTCAGTCTTTTCTCTGTTGATAAGAATGTTTTTATTGGTTCAGTGGTGAGGACTTTTGTTTTCTTTACACTGAGATGCAACCAATACAGAAGTCTGTGGTCTTTGACTTTCACCAATATTTTAAGTCCTGTTCACCTTCAGCAAGCAAGGCTGTATTATCTGTATATCACAGGTTGTTAATGAGTCTTCTTCCAATCCTGATGCCACATTTTTCTTTACATAACCCAGATTCTTGGATGATCTGCTCAGCATACAGGTTGAATAAGTATGGTGAAAGAATACAAGCCTGTAGTACACCTTTCTTAATTTTAAACCATTCAGTGTTTGTATGTTCTGTTTTAACATCTGCCTCTTGGTCCATGTACAGATTCCTCATGAGCACAATTAAGTGCTCCCTTGCTTCTATCGGGGGCTTCTTCGATAGAAATTGAATACTCATATTTTGCAATGGTGTTCATAGCTTTTCGTGATCCACACAAATGAAAGCCTCTGTGCAGTCAATAAAGCACAGGTAAACATCTTTCTGGTATTCTCTGCTTTCAGCCAAGATATATAGTGATGTTTGTTGTTGTTAAGTGCCACAGAGTCAGTTCCGACCCATAGCAACCCTCTATAGGGCTTCTGAGGAGTAACTGGTGAGCTTGAACCGCTGACCTTGCAGTTCAAATGGCTTTGCAGTCTGGTGCATTAACCCACAGTGCCACACCAGATAGAACCCTGCAAATTTCATTTCACAAAATCTGTAACATAAAGACCTGCTAAAAGCAGGACAAGAACAGGCCCACCAAGGAAGTGTTCTAGTAAACCAGGTTTGGCTTACTTCAAAGGCTGAAGGGAAAATCAGATATAAGCTATAAAATTCTAGATGTATACCAAAAAGCTGTATACTTTGCCTAGTTTCTCACCCAAGTATAACCAAATGATAGAAGTGATATTTTTCCATGAATGGGAACTCTTAAGAGAAGCCTCTTCCTCTTATTATCTCCAAACACCAGACGGAGATGGCCATGCTTTTGTCCCAGCTCAGAACAAGAGAGATGCTCTACCCTGAATCCTAAGGCATGAACAATTTCATCTGTGACTTTATTCTTAGAATGCCAAGTGATTTAATTCAGAGCTAGTTTTGGCTGATAAATAATTTCCTCTAGCTAAATTCTGCAGAAAGCAAACCAGTAACACAATATAAGCTGAGAACTCACTGATTTCCTTAGCTTAAAAGAATATACCTGGATTCTCTTCCATAATGTTGAGAGCCTCAATTGCAGCAGCAGCTAACAGGGGAGGTAATGAAGCTGAGAAGCAGTAGCCCTGGCCAGAAAGTCGCTGAAAAGAAACCAGTTCACAATATAAATACCTTTCTCTTTGTCTTTTTGGGTAAGCATTTTGCAGGCAGCAATTTCTTATACCACAACCCCAGTTGAATAGTGTGTACAGATGGTGATGTGGAACAATTTACACATGGATAAAAGTGACACATGTAACAAAAATAAGGCTTTTGAAAAAGATAAACAATTTCTAAATATAGATTGAATATTTTAAATAAATGATCTTTTAAATAAAAACTGTATAATCAGCTACATTAAAGTTTTATAATTAGAGGTTATCCAAACATTTTGTGGTGACCAATTAAGCAAACAGTTTCAGTTTATCCTTTTATTATTAAAAGAAGCCTACCTGATGGTCAATTACAAAAGACCTGCCACAGCAGAAGCCCCCGATAGAAGCAAGGGAGTTCTCCATGTTTGCACTGATAAGATCAATATCGTCAATCTGCCAGAAAAAGACACGCTGGTAGTTATTCTCCGCATAAAAGAAAAAAAAAAATTGCTTGTTGTGACAGCTACTGTATCAATTTTATAACAATATCATCTGAGGCTGGTATCATCTGGAAATTAGGAAATGTGAGTTATAATTGCAGTTCTTTTGATAAAGGTTTTGTCAAACTTAGAAACAAAATGTCAGCACTAATCATGTCTATTAACATCTGGATTCAGACAAACTACATTTTGTGACAATCAAGGAACTCTATTACTAATCTGTCTCTGAATGTGTCTCATGTCATGTACCCCTCTCCCACCACCCCTTCCATTTCAGGATCACTGGTTTCAAACCTGCTAGTTAACTGAGTTTTATGAAAATAAAAAACCAAAACCAAATCACCAAGATGGTACCTAAGGGACAACAATCACACATTTGATGGTTTCAAAATCATAAGACCACCTAAGTAATCATAACCTCAGGAAGCAGACAGCACTGTAAGAACCCTATGTAGGGTCACTGGTATCTGCTTCCTGATGTTATGACTTGGTATGGTCATCCTCCATTTCCACATCATGCTGACTTTTGAGTAAATGACCTGGTCTTTGCAACCTGGAGGTTGATAAGTGGGGATGGGTATACTCCGTCCCCAGCACCTAGTTACATTCTGGGTACACAGCAAACATCCAATAAATACTCACCAATGGTCATAATAATGACCAGGCCTGATTACATCTGGTGTTTTTCTTTGTGTTCCATAGACCCAACAAGGAAAGAAAGCACTGAAATCTTACACATAAGCTCTCATGGATATTATCTTAGTGACAACTTCTTAAAGGACTTAGAAAAAACACAACAGATACGTTGTAGTGCTTTTTCCTTCTTTAAAATGTTTATGTGCTATTCATCTTGCTGGTTTTTTCTAGTACTGACAGGGACTGGGAATGCAGATAATTTATTGGGATGCTATATTTCATAGTTGGACTTTGTAACACAAGTTGCAGAAATATTATGTGTGTGCTTTGAAGAAAAAGTGTCCTTCACATTCACCACACCACAGGCTTCTGAAGATGGTCAACATCATGCTTCCCTCCAAGGCTCCGGGAGCACAAACCACACAGCAATGGAGACACTGTGGCTTCATCTCCCTTAAGCAAGCGAAAACATGACAAATGCTCTCCACTGTCTGTGACTCTAAGGGACTTTGTTGAATTTGTTTAGAAGGGTATGGCCACTGTAGTAATTGTGACAGTTTTTCCCGAAGGACACAGAACAATGACCTGTCTGTTCAGGAGCTTATCTGGAAGCCATTTTCAGAAAGCTGAAAACTGCATTAGTGAGAAAAAGATCAGGAAAGTTGTGCTGAGGAACTTTCACCCATCATAATGATGCACCTGCTCATTCTTCAGGGGTGGCAAGAGCTTTGTACGAGAATTTCATTGGGAAACCTCACCCCATTCATTCTAAAGCCTTGATCTTGCCCCCTCAGACCTCCTTTGGTTCCCCATATTCAAAAAACATTTAAAAGGAACATAATTTGAGTCCCTTGAAGAGCAGTTTTGACATGATGCAAGCCACAGACCTCAGAATTCTTTGGGGAAGGGTTAGAGAGATGGAAATACTGTCTTCAGAAGGGTATAGACCGACATGGAGGATATGTTGAGAAATGATATCTTCCCAATTTGATATTTTTGTCTGAAAAAGGTTTTGCTGTAGCATTGCACTGGACCACAAGGAAACACTGCCTTCAGAAGGGTACAGACCTACATGGAGGATATGTTGAGAAATGATATCTTTCCAATTTGATATTTTTGTCTGAAAAAGGTTTTGGTGTAGCACTGCACTGGATCACAAGGTTGGTTTGAACCACAAGGCCAGAGGTTCAAACTCACCAATTACTCCATAGAGACGCTATGTATGGTTGCTATGAGTTGGAACTGACTTGGTGACACTTAAAAACATAATTATGAAGAAATACTTTTTAACTTACCTTTACATACGAGGGGGCTTCAAAAAGTTTGTGGAACCTCAGATTTATATAGAGCACTCAATCCAATCTGTCTAGGCGGGACTGACTGAAGGAAATGCGGATATGTCTCTTGTGATACAAGGGTGAATAATTGTTACCAGAACTGATTGTGCATGTTGTAAATGTAAAAGTAGACATTCTGTGGCAAGGAGAGGAGTGATTAACTTTGTAGGCTACGAGCAGAGGTCCCTGGAACCAAGAAGGGAGAAGAGCAGAGAGCGGAACCCTACCCAGAGAGGCAGCGATCCCCGAGATGGAGGCAGAGATGATGATGTGGAGAGATGGATGGAGCAGCTGGGGGCTCAGGACCCAGGGAGGGGCAAGGCCTGTGTGCTGACAACTGGGGGAGAGGGGAGGAGCAGGCTTATAGATGTACCCTTTCGTTGACTGGTGATATGTGGAGGGAATTGTAACCATGGCAATGAAAAAATATACGATAGGATGAATGTAAAACTGATGTTCTCCCATATAAACTGTTACATAATTCACAATAAAACTTAAAAAAAAAAAACAAGTTTGTGGAAAAACAGAATGAAAATGTCACGTATGTACATATATATGACAAGACTAGTTACAACTTGGTGGTGGTAGCTGTGAGTTGTTGTTAGTTCTGACTCACTGGGATCCTGTACAGGATTTCTGGGCTGTAAATCTTTATAGGAGCAGAAAAGCCTCATCTCTTGCAGAGAAGCTGGCAAATTTGAACTGCTGACCTTGAAGTAGTAGCCCATCACATAGGCTCTATGCTACCTGGGCTCCTAGTTACTACTTGTTGTTGTTAGGTGCCATCGAGTCAGTACCGACGCAGAGCGACCTTATGCACAACAGAACGAAACACTGCCCGATCCTGGGCCAACCTCACTACTGTTGCCATGCTTGAGTCCATCGATGCTGCCACTTGGCCAATCCATCTCGTGGGGATCTTCCTCTTTTTCTCTGACCCTCCACCTTACCAAACATGATATCCTTCTCTAGCGACTGGTCCCTCCCAACAATATGTCCAAAGTATGAGAGACGAAGTTTGGCCATCTTGGCCTCCAAGGAGCATTCTGGCTGCACTTTGTCTAAAATGGGTCTAATGATTCTTTTGGCAGCCCATGGCATTTTCAATATTCTCCTCCAACACCAGAACTCACAGGCATCAATTCTTCTACGGTCTTCCTTATTCACTGTCCAGCTTTCACATGCATATGAGGTTATTGAAAATACCATGGCTTGGGTCAGGTACACTTTAGTCCTCAAGCTGACATCTTTGCTCGTCAACACTTTTAAAAAGGTCTTGTGCAGCAGATTTGCCTAAGTTACTACTTGCACAGCCACAATTTACGTGGAGTACATAAATCCATGATTTAAAAAAAATCCATGATTCCACTTTAGGTTTACTCTGGGCCAACTGACCAGTTAAAGCCCAAGTTCAGAGAGATAAAAGATATCAAAGACCTACTGTCTACAGCTACATCTATGATGAGCACAGTTTGTCAAGTTTTTGAAAAAAGAACCCCAAGAGTCCTCTAAGAGGAAATGTCCAAGAAAAGGATAACTTACATTGATTCCAAAATGCTCCGTGACGCCTCGGCCGTGATCTCCAAGAACTCCAAATGAGAGGCTTTCCTCCAGAAAGATTCGTGCTTTGTATTTATATTTTAATTTCACCTAAGTATTACATAAAACAGAACTTCAATATACTGAATAGTAGGGAAAAAACAAACATGTACTCTAAAATAATTGAATTTCAATCAATAATAAAAGTATAACTTGAGGAGAATCACATCTTTACAAGAGACTACTTCATTTATAATATGAGGTATGGCATAGTTTCTAGAAATTAGAATACATTTAATATTATAACAGTATTAGTATACAAATAGACAAACCAGTGAAATGAAACAAAGGAATCCCAGAATCAAGCCTTTAATTTTACCATGTAAAAATCATGGTATGGCACTGTGGATTAATGTGCTGAACTGCAAAGTCGGTTTGAGCCACAAGATTGGCAGTTCAAGCTCACCAGCTGCTCCTCAGAAACCCTATACAAGGTTGCTATTTGATGGAAATGACTCAACAGCATATAACAACAACAACAACAATGATAATAGCAGATTTTAATACACCACTTTTGATGAAGGGTAGGACAACTAGAAAGAAGTTCAACAATGACACGAACTAAACAATACAATCAAGCAACTTGATCTCACAGACTTTTGCAGAGCATTCCATCCAACAACACAATCAATCACGTGACCTCAGATTTATATAGAGCACTGAAACCAATAGCTGCACAGTAAGCACTGTTTCCCAGTGCACATGGAACATTCTCCAGAATAGACCAGAGATTAGACCACAAGGCAAGTTTCAATAAATTTTAAAATGCTGAAATATGAAATACTACAAGGTATCTTTTCAGATCACAATGTACTAAAATTAGATATCAACAATAGTAAGATCAAGTAAGAAAAACAAATACATGGAATCTGAACAACACCTTGCTGAAAAACTAATGGGTAATAGTTATTTTTCTTTTTGTTAAGTACTGTTGAGGCAGTATCAACTCACAGCAATCCTGAGTAGGTTTCTGAGTAGTAGCTGGTGAGCTTGAATTGTTGACATTGCGGTTCAAAGCAACCTTGCAGTCCAGCACATTAACCCACAAACAAGAATGAAAACACAACATACTAAAACCTGTGAAACACAGCAAAAGCAGAGCTCAGAGGGCAATTTACAGCAATAAACACACATCCAAAAATAAGAGCCAAAATCTACTTCTTAACCCAACATCTCCAACAATGCCTACTGCCATCAGAAGAAAAGAAATAATATAGAGCAGACATAAGTGAAATAGAAAACAGAAAAACAATGGAAAGAACCAACAATACAAGAAGTTGGTTCCGTGAAAGGAATCATGAAACTGATAAACCACTGTCAAATATAACAATGATGTAAATAATATGAATTAGAAATGAAATAGGCGATGACACAACAGAAGCAATGCAAATAAAAAAAAAGAATTATACTATGACAAACTTGAAAATCTATAAGAAATTGATAAATTCCTAAAAATATACTACCTATATAAATTAACATAAACTGAAGTAGAAAACTTGGACAGGTCATTAAAAAAATTTCCAACAAAAAAGTTCCAGGCCCAGACAGATTTACTGGTGAATTCTAGCATTCAAAGAAGCACAGACATCAATTCTACCCCAACTATTCAAGAATACGGAAAAGGACTAAAAACTCCCAAATTCATTTTATGAGGTGAGCATAATCCTGATACCATAACCAATGATATCACTAAAAAAGACCAACATTCCTCATGAACACAGATGCAAAAATTCTCAATAAAATCCTAGCCAACAGCAGCCAACAACATACCAAAAATAATACAGACCACATGAACTGTGGTCTATATAAGATATACAAGGATGGTTCAATATTAGAAAAACAATCAACATAACTCAACAAATAAATATAACAAAAGAATCACATGATCACATTGATTGGTGCAAAAAGGGCATTTGACAAAAACCAACACCCATTCCAGAAAAAAATCTCCCAACAAATTAAGACTGGAAAGTAAATTCCTTATCATAATTAAGGGCCTATATACAAAACCACAGGAGCTCTGATAGCATAGTGGCTACAATTCAGGCTCGAAAACCCTATATGGGGTTGCTATGAGTTGGAACTGACTCCATGGCACACTACCACCATATATAAAACCAACAGCCAACATTACTCTCAATGGCAAAAATGGTTCCCTTGAGAATGGGAACCTTTAACACCACTCCTATTCAATGTGCTGGAAGTCTTAGCCAGAGGTATAAGGCAAGAAAGGGAAATTACAGGTCAAAGAAGAATTAAACTCTATTTGCAAATGATATGATCCTATATGTAGAAAACCCTAAAGATTCAATGAGAAAATTAGTGAAATATTCAACAAAGTAGCAGGGTACAAGATCAGAATACAAAATCAGTCAAATTTCTTTACACTAGTAAAGAGAACTTTAAAAAAGGAAATCAGGAAAATAATACCATTTACAACAACCCAAAAGATGAAATAGGAATAAATCTAAAGTGTAGCACTGTGGGTTAATGTGTCAGACTGCAAAGCCATTTGAACTGCAAGGCCAGCAGTTCAAGCTCACCAGCTGTTCCTCGGAAACCCTATATAGGATCGCTATGGGTCAGAATCAACTCGACAGCACTTAGCAACAACAACAAAGAAAACTACAAAATACTACTACAAGAAACCAAGAGAAATAAATGGAAAAATATGGGTAAGAAGATTTAACATTGTGAAAATGTCAATATTATACAAAGTGAAATATAGATACAATCCCAATGCAGATTCCGTCATCATTCTTTAGAGAGAAGGAAAAACTAATTATTAACTTTATATGGAAAGGAAAGAGACCTCATATAAGCAAACCATTACTAAAGATAAAGAATAAACTATGAGGGCTTTCACTTCTTGATCTCAAAACCCACTACCACAGTCATAGTAGTTAAAACAATCTGGTACTGGTATAATGAAAGACAAACAGATATATGGAAAAGAATTGAGGACCCAGTGCTAAATCCATCCATCTATGGTCATCTGAACTTTGATAAAGTAGCAAAATACGTTAAATGAGAAAAAGATAGTTTCTCTGACAAATGGTACAGGCAAAACTAGAAATCTATTTGCAAACGAAACAGGATCCATATCTCACACAATATGCAAAAATGAACTCAAGTGGCTCAAATACATAGCTATAAAACCTTGCCCTATAAAAATCATCATTGAAAAACTAGGGGAACACAGAGGCTCTGATACATGGCATAAATACACTATCAAACATATTTGAAAACAAACAAACAGCAGAAGACACATTAGATAACTAGAACGTTCTAAAACTGGGACACACAGGTGAAAGGAAACACTTCACCGGAAGAGTAAAAAAAGAACCATAGAGAGGGAAGAAGGTTTTTTTTTGGCAATGACATATCAGAAAAGGACCAATCTCTAAAATTTATAGACAACTTCAAAACCTCAATAACAAAACAAGACAATCTAATTAAAAAATGGGAAGAGGACATGAATATATTTTGCCAAGGAAACATTCAGGAGGACAATAAACATATAAAGAAATGCTTGTGATCCTTAGCCATTAGAGATGCAAATCTAAACAATAATAAGATACTATCCCATTCCAGCATAATTGTTGTTGTTGTTGTTGTTGTTGTTAAGGGCTGTTGAGTCGGTTCCCACCCATAGCGACCCTTGTATAGGGTTTCAGAGGAGTAGCTGGTGAGCCTGAAATGACAACCTTGCAGTTCAAACTGACTTTGCAGTCCAGTGCATTAACCCACAGCGCCACACCAGTGTTAATAGCAAAGTCTAAAAAAAGAGCAAACAGTAAATGTTAGTGAGGGTGTGGAGAGACTAGAACTCTTGTACACTGCTAGTGAGATTACAAAATGTTGCAACCACTGTAGTAAACAGTATGGCGTTTCCTCAAAAAGTTGGAAACAGAAATATGCTGTTGTTGTTAGGTGCCCGTGAGTCAGCTCCGACTCATTGCATCCATATATACAACAGAGCAAAATACTCCCTAATCCTGCAGCATCCACACAGTTATTGCTTTGTGTGAGACTGCTGCTGTTACTGGGTCAAACCATCTCCTTGAGATCTTTCTCTTTTTTTGCTGACCCTTCACTTTACCAAGCATGAGGTCCTGCTATCCTGGTTTCTAAGGTACATTCTGGCTGTACTTCTTCCATGACACATTTTTTTTTTTTTTTTTGTTCTCCTGGAATTCCATGGTACTTTGGATATTCTTCTCCATAATTCAAAAGCATCAATCCTTCTATGGTATTACTTATTCACTGTCCAACTCTCACATGCATAGGAGGCGACTGTTGAAAGATTTCTATTTGTATTCCATCAATTACCAGAGCCTTGTTCTTCGCCAATGCCTTCATTGCATCTTGGATTCCTTCCTTCAGTGTCATTGGCTCTTTTTATTATCACAAATGATGGTAAACAAAAAAAAAAACAATCTGCTAAATCGTCTAAATGCTAAAATAATAATATGGTTGCTTACCAACTCTGGAAGAGGACAAATAGTTCCAGTATTCATATACAAGCCTTCCACTACAATGAAACGGCGAGTTACACGAGCCTTCCGAGGATTCTTTAAGAGAAAAATAAATAACCTCAGACATCTTAAATGTCATAACTCAAATATAATACTTGCAACATGCTCCTCAGCATTTTAACTACATTAAGATTAATCAAAACATAATCTAAACGAATTTAAAAATCAAGGTTTAGGATTCTGTTACTTGGCGATGAAGACAATGCTTCTTCTATCAGATACGGTTTTCAATTCACAAATTCCACTAGGTGGCGCCACACACTAGCAAGCTAGGTTCTCTCAGGATTCAAACACAAATAGAACACTCCAATCCCAGAATGAGATTATCCTTCAATTTGGATGCCATGTTTGATTATTTTCTAGGGATGCAGGCCACGTGTATGAATATTTAAGGATTCTAGGATATTTCTGCCCATTTACTCACTGGAAGCCTGTGCCATTTAAGCTCCTCTTAGTGCTATAGAATTGGTTTGTTTTTTTAACGTTTTTATTGTGAATTGAGTGAAAGTTTACCAGACAGATCATCAGTTTTACATTCAACAAATCATATCCACTGTTTTATTACAATGATTATAATCCGTTTCATGTACCATCAGTTAACAGTACTTATAAGGAGCTCTGGTAGCATAGTGGTTACGAATCGGGCTGTGAACCTTAAGGCCAGCAGTTCAAAACTACCAGCCGCTTCGCGGGAGAAAGATGAAGCATTCTGCTCCCGTAAAGATTTACAGCCTCAGAAACCCTGTACAGGGTCACTATGGGTCGGAACCGACTCGACAGCACTTAACAACAACTATTCATTTTAGCTTTTTTAAAAAAAAAAATACTCAGGCATATATAATACTTAAAATTTAAACCACCAAAGGGCATATTTTACATGCCTGCCTCCTGGACGCCAGGAGTCCTCATCTCTGCCTCTATCTCTGGTGTCACTGCTTTTCTGGACAGGGCCCCACGTTCTGCTTGTGCTCTTCTCCCTTGATGGTCCTAGGGTCCTCTGTTTCTGGACTGTAAGATTAACCACTCACCTGTTTTTGTTCCAAAACTTCTACCTTTACAATGGTGACAGTCGCAATTAGTCATGATAACAATTACTCACTACTGAATCATAAGAATCTTATTCCCATCTCTTTTTACCAGACCCATTTAGATAAGATGAAAACTATTCAGTGGGGACTCTATTCCACGTCCCCCCCTCCACACACTCTTAAACTATACTCCTTCTTGAAAACTTGTAAGCCAGTCACTTTGTGCCTTTATTGCCCCTGCATTTTAGGTAGCCAAAGGATTGTTTTATGTCTCACCACACTTCTACTGGCACTGATTATTTTAATGAAACATGCTCCCTAATCTAGCCTACTTTCTTTAATCATTATGAGGAAGCTGTTGTTTTTGTTAAGTACAATGGAGTCAGTTTTGACTCACAGTGACCTTGTACAGGGCTTTCGAGGCTGTAAATCTTTATGGGAGCAGAAAGCCTCATCTTTCTCCCGCAGAACGGATGGTAGTTTCAAACTGCTGACCTTGAGGTTAGCAGCTTGATTCGTAACCACTACACTACCAGAGCTCCTTATTATGATGAGCTACTTTTTTTAAGATCTGTTCACAGTAATTTGTATTTCTTCTTTAACCTTTGTTTATATCGGCTGTCCAGCTTTTTTATGGGGATCTCAGTTTTCTTTAAAATTTGAATACATTCTTCATATATTAAGAATATGAAATGCTGTTAAGTATTCCACCTCTCCCTTTTAGAAGAATTAATGTGTAACAAGGGAACCATGTAAGAGAAAAGATGAAGAGACACATGTGTGAACCATAATATTTGGGAAGTGGCAAAGAAAGATCCATCTAGATCTGGACTAAACTTTAATATTTTCATTCATGTTCAAAGGAAATACAAGTGTCCAAGTAGAAAACATTTCAAAGGAATCAGAAAAAGAAGCAGAAAAATAGTATTTATAAAATAAATGCAAAGTTATTTAAAAAGCCAACTATTGGCAGTAAAACAAAAAATATATTAAATTCATAAGAAAGTAAAAATTAAGTAGATATAGTTCATGAAACTTAATCTTATTTCTTATTGTTAAGCACACAAAAACCCATGAACTATAATCTTTAAAAGAAACAAATATCAATAATACACACAATAAAACTTGAATATGTTTTCCAAATATATACAAAACTAGCTTCATAAAATGAACTTAAAGCAAAAATATTCCTTGGCCACGTCTCTAAGGCAGCAATTTTCAAAGTTAGCTGGCATTCTATTAATTACTTAGAATAAGGAGCATATTTTATAATTTGTAGAAAAAAAAAAACGAATCGTGAAACAATCTGTCTTTAGATTTTTCCCAAGATATTTTATTTTTACTAATAGTTAAAATACAAAAACACCTGGCTACCCCGAACCTAGTATAAAATGTCGCCTATGTATATGTATCTGAGAATGTGAATATTCATGAAGCATTGCAATTAGGCTGATATCAAAAAACATATATGGAGGAGTCCTAAATGAAACATGCAAATATTTGGAAAAATGGAAATTAACAGAAAATAATAGAATGTGTTAAGCATTTTAATCAGTTATTCTAGTTATGAATGAGTTGTAATGGAAAATTCACTTAAGACAAAGGATATTGGTATCAGATTCCCAGAAAAGGCCATACAGAATGGAGTCTGATGCAGAGCCAGCCATAACTACTTTTTCCAACCATGTAATTGGAGGAAAATAATTATTATTCTAACCAATGGTGCTATAAACACACTTCCTCTGTTACTCTATTGAATCAGGGAACCAAGGAGCTAGCTAGTTCACACCACCACCACTGGGGTGGTGGATGTTGTTGTTGTTGTTAAGTGCAGTTCAGTCAGTTCCCACTCATAGCGACCCAGTATAGGGTTTCCGAGGAGCAGTGGTGAGCTTGAACTGCCGACCTTGCAGTTCAACCCGACCTTGCTGTCCAGCCTATTAACCCACAGTGCCACACCAGTGAGGATGTAGGTTCTTGGAAAGGAACAACTAAAAATAGGGCAAGATTTACAGAAACCATGTCTGGAGCAGCAATTTCCCATAAGTATCAGGGTAGAGATGGGGGGGCATTAAGAATATTACTTTGTTCATAAAATCATAAATTAAGAACTGTCTCTGTTCTTTTCTCCAGTTAATTAATTAATACATGAGTTATCTGTATATGAATATGCCTATTTTGAATTGAGTCCTTGGCACTGTGGGTTAATGCGCTGGACTGAAAAGTTGATTTAAAGCACAGTCAGCTATTTAAGCTCACCAGCTACTTCTTGGAAACCCTATACAGGGTCACTATGAGTTGGAATCAACTTGATGGCACATAACAATAATTACAACACTTCTGAATTCACTAGGTACACCTCTTAAAGTCAAAATAAGGGTTTGTATTATTACAATACTGAGTCCTGTTGTGGCGCTGTGGGTTAATGCACTGGACTACAAAGTTGGTTTGAACCACAGGGTTGGTGGCTCAAGCTTACCAGCTAGCTGTTCCTTGGAAACCCTATATAGGGTTGCTATTGGTTGGAACTGACTCAACAGCACTTAACAACAACAAATTTGACATATGCAATTATGACAATGACAAAGCAATTACCATCAGACTTGGCCCTCCAACACTAAGTATATTTAGTAAGCAGGAACACTCTTATTTAATATGTGATCCATGGGCAATGCTTCATGACAAATTACCATTTCATATATCATTTAGCTAGTTAGAAAGTACAAAAGAAGTGATTATTCTTCAAAAGAATCATACCTTTTGATCTTCAATCTCTTGTTCTTTTAGCAGTCGCTCCAGGTCAGCCATATCATTATGTTTAAATAATTTAATGTCACTACGTGATGCCTGTAATCCTTTCTGAATAGCAAAGCAGGCAGCTCTATCTCTGCAAGAAAGAGAGATGAACAACTGGGATTTAAAATGGCTTGTAAAACCTCTCAAAAAAGAATGCTTGCTTTTTAAGAAACACTGACTGATCACCAATTTTGTTAACTTGAATATGGTATAATAAAATATAGTTGAATGTTTACACATCACTGTTAATGCTGCACGCTGTAAATCCTTTTCACCTAACAACCTTATTTAATGTACACCAATAAACATATTTTTGCCATATTTTGACCTCTGAAATCAGTAAGCATCTTGCCACTCATAGCATATCAGTTTAACTCACAGTACTTTTCTCTAAGACAGGGGAGAGGAACCTTTTTTTCTTCCAAAAATTCTAACATCATTTTCGAGGCAATACAAAAATATCAACTTAAAAATTAGCCTGCTATGTTTAGTCAAGCATTAAATTAACTCCAGGTAGGGCGCTGTACCACCACTCGTCTGTCAGTTTGACGTACTGTGGTGGTTTGTGAGTTGCTGTGATTCTGAAAGCTATGCCACCGGTATTTTAAATACCAGCAGGGTCAGCCATGATTGACAAGTTTCAGATGAGCTTCCAGATGAAGATAGACTAGGAAGAAGGAGTGACAAACTACTTCTGAATATTTAGTCACTGAAAACCTTATGAATAGCAGAGAAACACTGTCAGATATAGTGCTGGAAAATGAGCCCCTCAGGTTGGAAGGCACTCAAAATGCGACTGGGGACGAGCTACCTCTGCAAAGTATAGTTGACTGTGATGACGTGAATGGAGTAAAGCCTGTGGGAGAACAGCCCACGGGACCTTCATTTGCTGATGGGGCACAACTCAAAACGAAGAGAAACACCTGTAAACATCCACTGAAAATGGGAACATGGAATGTACAAAGTATGAATCTGGGAAAATTAGAAATTGCCAAAAACGAAATGAAACACATAAACTGATATCTTAGGCATTAGTGAGCTGAAATGGACTGGTATTGGCCATTCTGAATATGAAAACCCCATGGTTTATGATGCCGGAAATGACAAATTGAAGAGGAATGGTGTTGCATTCATTGTCAAAAAGTACATATCCAGATCAGTCATGAGGTACAACGCTGTCTGTGATAGGATATCCATGTGACTACAGGGAAGCCCAGTTAATACCACTATTATTCAAATTTATGCACCAACCACTAAAGCCAGTGAGGACAAAATAGAAGAATTCTACCAACTTCTTCGATATGAAATTGATCAAACATGCAATCAATATGCATTAATCATTACTGGTGATTGGAATGCAAAGGTTGAGAGCAAAGAGGAAGGATCAGTAGTTGGAAAATATGACTTTGGTGATAGAATTGATGCTGGAGAGCACATGATAGAATTCTGCAAAATCAATGATTTGTTCATTTCAAATACCTTCTTTAGACAACATAAGAGATGACTATACACATGGACCTCACCAAATAGAATACATAGAAATCAAATTGACTACATCTGCAGAAAGAGACGATGGAAAAGCTCCATATCATCCACCAAAAGAAGGCCAGGGGCAGACTTTGGAACAAACCATCAATTAGTCATATGCAAATTCAAACTGAAGCTGAAGAAAATGAAAACAAGTCCATGAGAGCCAAAATATGACCTTGAATATATCCTACCTAAATTTAGGGATCATCTGAAGAACAGATTTGATACATTAAACATTAAAGACGGAAGACCAGAAGAGTTGTGGGATGACATCAAGAACATCATACATGAAGAAAGCAAAAAAGTCACTGAGAAGACAAGAAAGAAAGAAAAGGTCAAAGCGGATGTCAGAAGAGACTCTGAAACTTGCTCTCCAGCATAGAGATGTTAAAGCAAATGGAAGAAAGGAGGAGGTCCAAGAGCTGAACAGAAAATTTCAAAGGTCATCTCAAGAAGATAAAACCAAATATTACAACAAAATGTGCAAAGATCTGGAATCAGAAAACCAAAAAGGAAGAACACACTCAGCATTTCTCAAGCTGGGGGCACTGAAGAAAAAATTCAAGCCTTGACTTTCATTATTGACAGATTCTCTGGGCAAATTATTGAATGATGCAGAAAGCATCAAGAGAAGATGGAAGGAATACACAGAGTCACTATACCAAAAGGAAATGGTTCATGTTCAAGCGTTTCCAGAGGTAGCATATGATTAAGAGCCAATGATACCGAAGGAGGAAGTCCAAGGTACACTGATGGAATTGGCAAAGAACAAGGCACCAGGAATTGATGGAAAAAAACCTGAAATCTTTAAAGAAAGTGTGGTGGCACAGGAGGCACTCACTCATCTCTGCCAAGAAATTTGGAAGACAACTATCTGGCCAACTGATTGGAAGAGATCCGTATGTGTACCCATTCAAAAGAGCAGTGACCCAACAGAATGAGGAAATCATTGGACAATCTCTTAGATATCCCATGTGAGTAAAGTTTTACTAAAGGTAATACAGAAACGGCTGCAGTCATACATGACAGAGAACTTCCAGAGGTTCAAGCTGGACTCAGAAGAGGCTATGGAAAGAGGGATATCATTGTTGATGTCCAATAGATCTTGGCTGAAAGCAGAGATTATCAGAAAGATGTTTACTTGTGCTACATTGACTACGCGAAGGCTTTCAATTGTGTGGATCCTGACAAGCTATAGAAAACATTGCAAACTGAGTCTTCCGGACCACTTAACTGTGCTCATGAGGAATCTGTACCTGGACTAAGAGGCAGTTGTTCAAACAGAACATGGGAAGACTAAATGTTTTAAAACTGAGAAAGGTGTGCGACAAGGTTGTATTCTTTCACCATACTTACTCAACCTGTATGCTGAACAAATAATCTGAGAAGCTGGATTATATGAAGAAAAATGTGGCATATGGACTGGAGGAAGACTCATAAACAACCTGCGATATGCAGATGATACAACCTTGCTTGCTGAAAGTGAAGAGGACTTAAAGCATTTACTGATGAAGATGGAAGAGCATAGCCTTCGGTATGGATTACATCTCAATGTAAAGAAAACAAAAATCCTCACCACTGGACCAATAAACAGCATTGGTTTCAACAGAGAAAAGATGGATGTTGTTCAAGGACTTCATTCATCTTGGATCAACTATCAACACTCATGGAAGCAGCAGTCAAGAAATCAAACGATGTATTTGCATTCTGCTACACAAGACCTTTTTAAAGTGTTGAAGAGCAAAGAAGTCAGCTTGAGGACTAAGGTGTACCTGACCCAAGCCATGGTATTTTCAGTAACCTCATATGCATGCAAAAGTTGGACAGTGAATAAAGAAGACCGTAGAATTGATGCTTTTGAGTTATGGTGCTGGAGGAGAATATTGAAAGTGCCATGGACTGCCTAAAAGAACAAGTTGATCCGTTCTGGAAGAAGTGCAGCCAGAGTACTCATACTTTGGACATATTGTCAGGAGGCACCAGTCACTAGAGAAGGATATCATGTTTGGTAAGGCGGAGGGTCAGAAAAAAGAGGAAGACGCCCAACAAGATGGACTGGCCAAGTGAAAGCATCGATGGACTCAGCCGTGGCAACAGTAGTGGGGTTAGCCCAGGAATGGGCAGTGTTTCGTTCTGCTGTGCATAAGGTCGCTATGGGTTAGTACCAACTCAATGGCACCTAACAACAATAACAACTTGGAGCTGTAGGGTCAGCATTGGACTACGAACCACAAGGTAGACATTTCAAACCCACCAGCTGCTCTTTGGAAATCCTATGCAGGCTCGCTATGAGTCAGAACCGATATGACGGCACTAATAAGAGGAACGTAATGGCTGGAACTGCAGTTGTTTTGGAAGAGTCATACTAAATGATTTCGACCATATATGGCCTTAACGTCCGATGCTTCCCACCCCTGCTCTAAAATGATGCATCTCACCATTGCGGCATCTTCAATTTGAGGGGCACATTATCCTGCCTTTACTTTGGCATGAGAAGCAAAACTAAATCACTGAATCTGTAGAACCCAAGGGAGAACCCTGGCTCTTCAGTAAGATCTTCCAAATTGGGTAAATTAGGGGGAAGTTTTTTTTAAAAAACCATTCATTTGAATTATTGGAAATTGTATGCAGTATCATGAGTAATCTTGAGCCCTGAGATCTCTCCCTGGATCTTTGATTCACATATATATACAGACTCCATTGGGGTCCCTAAGGGTCTGTTAACAGATTTAAAGAACTGCAGGGTTTGAGAGTTTACTTTTCTGGTGGTCTAAAAACAATGTAGACTAAATTAATTATGTCTACTATAATCAATGGACTCCTGGTATGACGCTATGGGTTAATGTGTCAGACTGCAAAGCCATTTGAACTGCAAAGTCAGTGGTTCAAGCTCACCAGCCACTTCTAGGAAACCTGTTTAGGGTTGCTATACATCTGAACCAATTCCATAGCACTTAACAACAACAACAACATAGTAGCATTGTGTGGTATCAGCAGACATATAATATGCATTAATAAAAAAACAGTATAGAAAGCTCAATAATGTTGTTAAGTACTGTCACGTCAGTTTCAACTCATAGTGACCCTGTATAGGCTTTCCAAGGAGAAGCTGCTGGGTTTGAACTGTAGACCTTATATTTAAGAGTCTAGTGTTTATCCTACAGCGCCAAACCAAGACTCCATCATGTTGTTGTTAAGTGCTGCTGAGTCGATTCTGACCCACAGCGACCCTGTAGGGTTTCCAAGGAGCAGCTGGTGAGCTTGAACCACTGACCTTGTAGTTCAAATTACTTTGCAGTCTGACACATTAGCCCACAGCACCACACCAAGACTCCATTATAGACCTACACAAATAAACCAAACTGATTGTTGGTGAAGTGCAAAAGCAATTTAATGTCAGAAAGATGACCTTTTCAACAAATGGTGCTGCACAAAATGGACATCCCTGTGTGGTAGAAAATACATCTGGACTTAAGTTTCACATTGTATAAAAAAATCAACTCAAAATGGATCACATACTAAAATGCAAAATGTACAACTTTTCTAGATTTAAGGCTAAGCAAAGAGTTCTTAGACTTGACATCAAAAGCATGATATATGAAAGAAAAACAGATACACTCACTGGACATCATCAAAATAAAGAAAAAAAAAAACTTTTGCTTTGCCTTAAGGATGAAAAGACAACCTATGAAGTGGAAGAAAATATTTGTATATCACAATTCAGTGGTCTGAACCCACCAGCAGCTCTACAGAACTGGTGGTTTGTTCTGTATGGATGCCAGCCTAGAAAACCCTATGGTCTGTCTTATAGGGTCACTGTAAGTTAGATTTCACTTGAAGGTAAACAACAACAACAACTATATGGTAAGTGTTATCTCCTAAGCAATGAACTTTCAAAAGCAAACAGAATAAAAGAATCACACAGATATAAAATCATAAGCTGTTGCATGTAGTATAAAAGGAACAGTAAGAGTGTGAGGAAAGCTGAGCAAACAGAAAGAGCATGTGTAGCTTGAGAAGCAGAGTGAGGGCCTGTGTGATCACAGATTCACAAAGACAGCAAATTCTCTAAGATTTTCTGCACAGTGAGAGAGATTTGAGAGGCTGGAGATGGCTTTCTCTGCCGAGGTGATAAATGTATAGGAATCTGAAGGAGAAGTGGGAATTACATAGGAGATGAGAGGAGGAATAACATTCTAAACAAAGAAATTAGCATGTGCAAAGGCACTGAGGTGAGAAGACACTCAGACATATGGCTGGTTAGATAATAGCACAAGGTTAACCTGAAAAAGTAGTCCAGAACATTCAGGATCATAAGGACTTCAGATTTTTATTCTAAAATGAAGACTACTCTAGCTATGGTGCAGATAAACAGAAAGCAATGATATGTTTGTGGAGACCTAAACTTAAAGGGTCATTTAATAGTTGAATCAAAAGAAGAAAGAATCCTAGTGTGGCACTGTAGGTTAAATATCAGACTGCTAACCACAGATCAGCAGTTCAAACCCACCAGTCGCTCTTTGGAACGCTATGAGTTGGAACCGATTCAACAGCACTTAACAACAAAAGAAGACAGTAGCTTGAACTGGCATCAGCAGCTGCCTGTGATCCTCTGAGCCCTGGCTGCTGCTCTTGGTTCTAGCCCTTCACAGTCAAAGGCAGCACTACACATAAAGTGTAGATGGAGCATGCTTATAGATTAGGTTGTGGGAGGTTAAGAGAGTTCCCAACTCAACAGGTACGAAGCCAGATGAGCAGAGAGCAGGACTTTGAGAGGAGCTGGTTTGGAGAAACGGAATGATTACTTTGCCAAGTAGTGTGAATGCCATGTTGTGACCATGGACTCACAATGACACCAAATTGTCTAGATTTTCTCCAGAATCACAGAGCTGCACAGGGAAGGCTGATGGTTGTCCTCATCCTGGTTGAAATTTTGTCTTCTAAACAGTCGTTCCTTGGAAACCCTATACAGGGTTGCTATAGGTTGGAACTGACTTGACAGCACTTAACAACAACAGACATCAATAAATAAAACCATAATGGCAGACAACTGAGTACTAACATCTTTAAGCATGTTTCTAATAAAGAACTCAAAATTTTGTAAATTACTTGACTGGGTGAACTTACTAAAAGAAAAAAATCAATTATTACATAAGGCAGACAACCTTTAAATAAAAAATTCGCTAAGAGGGTCAACATTTCTGAGGGAAATGTGGTTAGAAATGTCGGTACAGGCTACTCACACAAACACAATGTCCCCTCTCTTAGAGTAAGCAGGAATAGCACTGGCAATGGTGGCAAATCCATATGAATATATAATGGCTTCTTCTGTTTTCATAAATTTTGCTAGGTGATCTTCCAAATCCAAGTGCACATCTGTTTCAATAGAAAAATGTTACATGGTTAGATTGTCTAGTAATTATTTCCCCCCTCAATTAAAGAACAAAGGGAAGCACAGTGGGGCTCTGTAGGGTAATCATTGAACTGTGAACCACAATGTTGGTAGTTCAAGCCTGCCAGCTGCTCTGCAGGAAAAAGATGAGGCTTTCTGCTCCCACAAAGATTTATAGCCTCAGAAACCCTACACAGGGTGGACTGTGAGTTGAAGCTGAATCAACAGCACTTAACAAAAACAAAAAACAGAACGTTTAGTTGTTAACACTTTCGTCTTATGGTGAGAAAATAATTGTTTTTAAATAATAAATTACAATATGGGGAGATTCAAAATGTGGGGAAAATCTATTATCTTTTTGATTCACTTTTCCATGAACTTTTTGAAGGCCCTGCATAGTTCTGGCTCCAAATTACTTCTAAAACATATGAACACATTGATGTCAGTTACTTATCTGTCTGTAAATATGTCACTGTGGCAGTTACAAACTCCAGGTTTTGGTTTCATATAATTCTATAATAATATACCATTCCATTTTTAGGCTTGCCTAAAGTAACTATCTCAAACTTTAGTAATTCACAGGTTCAACAATTCAAGACCCATCAGCCTGGCCTATTATAACATCCCGAATAAAAAACACAGGTGTTACTACCACTATCTGATATTAATTTTTAAATGCCTTTCTATAGAATGGAGCAAATGAAGTTCTAAGAAAACTGTCATGCAGCTTTTAACGAGAAAAATGTGTTGGCTTGAATAAAAAAAAAAAACACCCACATCTTATGCATCAAGCGAATAGTACTAACAACTTCAAAGGTTAACTCTCTAATGAGCTGTCTCAGTGCTTAGTCAATGCACCTGACACCACTCTATTAATTGGTTTCTGTCTGAATTCCTTTTTAAGTACAAGGGGCTTCAAAAAGTTTGTAGAAAAATTCCATGCTTAATTAATTCCATTTTCCATGAACTTTTTGAAGACTCTCAGATATTAGAGAATTTAAATGAATATTTTAAAAAATATGGTCCTTTTATTGAGTGAATTTAAGCAGAATGTGGATGCAATAATGAGTATAAATTATTTTTACAAAATTGATGTATTTTTACTTTCCTCTTAAATCACAGTTCAATCTTTAGCCCTCAAGCTGAGGTATGAAGCTCATGCACTGGGAGATAGGCAGCGACAGGATAAACCTACAAGTCCACAAGGGGTCTTAAGTGAGGCATTAACCACAAAATGACAAATCCCAGACTTTCATGTGCCCTGTGCCAGAACTCAGAATTTGACACATGAAGGATGACACCAGGCCTCTTTTGCCTTAAGAAACTGAGAAGAAAAGAGAGGAAGCTGCAAGTATAGGTTGATGGCATGGCATCCAGAAGTTCCCAAGCAAAGGAAGAGACAGAGTTGATTAATGGTTCAGACATGGGGGGAATAAATCCCATTTAGTTATGTTAGAATTTCTGCAACTATATTCATAGAGGATATTGGTCTGTAACTTCATTCTTTTGTGCTGCCTTATCTGGCTTTGGTATCTAGTTAATGCTGGCTTCATAGAATGAGTCAGGAGTATTGCTTCCTCTTCTATGTTTTTGGAAGCGTTTGAGTAGGATTGGTGTCAATTCTCTGAACCTTTGGTAAAATTCCCCAGTGAAGCCATCTTCTTGTTGTTAAGTGCTGTTGAGTTGATTCCAACACATAGCGACCCTGTACAGGGTGTGTACCATTGACCTTGTGGTTCACCGTTCAGTGCTTATCCCACACAGAGCCATACCAGGAACTCCAAAGCCATCTAGTCCAGGGCCTTTTGTTGGGAAGCTTTAGATGACTGATTTAGTCTCTTTCCTTATGGGTCTACAAGGTACAATACATTTCTTTGATATGACTTTTCTATTCCAAGTCTGCTTATTGTTGTTGTGAAGTGCTGTCCACTTGATTCTGACTCATAGTAATCTTTACAGGGTTTCTGAAAAACAGCTGGTGGGTCTGATCTGCCTACCTTGTAGTTCGCAGTCCAGTGCTTATCCTACTTCTTAACTCCCACCAAATGATTTGATGAAACCATGAAAACAGGGTGTACATGACTCTTAACAGCAGAATTGGTTAATTTTGCAATCCTGCTAGGTTTAAGGAGCCATCACAGAAGAAGGAACATACAGGACACCATCAAGAAAGCAGAGTTATGCGTGGAGCATTGAGACCAACTTGGAAAAATAGCAGGGGCAGCGACATGGAGAAACAGAGCAGCTGTAAGCTTCCCAGCATAAAAGAAATAAGACCAATGACACAATTAGATATATGCACACCCATGGGCATAAGGCGAGGCTGGCTTGCAGGATGGGCATTTACAGACTGGAGCTTTATAATACTTCCTCTGAAGAGGGTAGAGGCCAAGGGGCCACATGACTGAGAGGGTAAACACAAGAGTGAGGCATGACTGTAGCACAGTCGAGAAGACGAGTTCCTGTATCCTGAGTTGTTTCTTATCCTGAATTGTACCCTGTTCACTTCTCTGATAAACCCCATGATAGCAAGTATTGTCTTTGAGTTCTATGTGGCTACTGCAACAGATTATTGAACCCAGATGTGAAGCAGAGAATGCTGTGGGAGGGACTCTTGGTGTTAGAATAGGGTAAAGCAAGTTGTAGGGTGGAGGCATGTCTGACCTCTACTTTATAGGAATCCGCCTTGTGCTTATTTTGAGTTTAATTCTGCTTCCTTCTTTTTTAAAAAAATGTTTTATTGTGAATTATGATAGTTTACATGGGAGAACTTTAGTTTTACATTCATTCCATCATATAACATCTCACTGCCATGGTTCCAATCCCCTCCATGCATCCTCAACCACCCAAAGGGTATATCCCAGAAACCCACTCCCTACACTTCCCACTCCTCCCCCCAGTTTTCAGCCCATAGTCCCTTTCCCTCTCTGGGTCCAAAGTCCCCAGTCGTTTCATCACTCCACATCATCATCTCTGTCTCTATCTCAGGCATCTCTGTTTCTCTGGATAGGGTCCCGCTCTCAGCTCTTCTCCGCTGATGATCCCAGAGGCCTCTGCTCCTATCCTGGAGAATCAATCACTCCTTCCTTGTTACAAAACTTCTACCTTTGCATTTCTAACCCTCATAATCCGTCCTGATAAGCATTATTCACTACAGTATCACGAGTTACCCATCTGTATCTCCTTTTATCAGCTCCGTCCAGATTGAATAGTACCTTCTGGAGATTCTGCCTTCTGCCATGCTCCCTAGCACCAGGTTCCCTCTTAAAAGCTTGTAAGCCAGTCACTTCTTGCCTTTGTAGTTCCCCCCTCCCCATTTAAGTATCCAATGTCCAAGCTGCCCTTCTCCATCCACTCTGTGTGTGGGGTGTGTGTGAATGTTTCTTGCTGTGAGGATTTGTTCCTTCTTTTGAGTCATAGCATCCATAGGTAAAGGTCAGATTGTAACAGCTCACTCTTTTTTTCTTTTTTCCCCCCCTCTTCTTTCCTCTCCTGATCGAGTTCCAATCATCCAGTCATCTGGTCCAAGTCACGTGATCATCTGCAAGTGTGGGCGCTCCTGTGCATATGTCCTCTCTTCCCGTCAGCTGGTAGCTCCACTCTCCTCTCGAGTCCTCCGTGGCCTCTGCTTCCTTCTTGTGAAGCCAAACAAAGAAAGATATGGCCTCCACACCATTTCTACAGTCTGTTTAAAATTTCTACCTCTATTTGTGTTAGTTTGGAGACCTGGTATGGCGCTGTGGGCTAAAGCACTGGATCACAAAGTCAGTTTGAACCACAAGGTGGAGGTTCAAACTCATCAGCAGCTCTTTGGAAATTCTATGCAGGGTTACTATGAGTTGGAATCGACTTGACAACACTTAAAAACAACAATTTGTGTTAGTTTAGGTAGTTTAAGTGTATTTGTCTATTTTCTTCAAGTTTGTTAAGAGTACAATTCTTTTTTTTTAGTTTTTATTGTGAATTAGGTGGGTTTACATGAGAGAACATAGTTTTACATTCACCCTATATTTCATTTCATTGCAATGATTACAATCCCCTCCATGCATCATCAAATAACCAAAAGGTATACCCCACAGGCCTGTCACCTGGCTGTCAGTACACAGCCTCTCCATATGTCCAATGTCCCCAGCCGCTCCATATGTCCAAGTCATCGTCTCTGTCTCCATTTCTGGCATCACTGCTTCTCTGGGTAGGGTCCTGCACTCTGCTCTTCTCACTTGATGGCCCCAGGGACCTCTGCTCCTGGACTGCAAAATCAATCACTCCCCTCCTTTTATTAAAAAACATCAAAAACATCTACCTTTACATTTCTTATCCTCACAGTCAGTCCTGATGGCAACTATTCACTATTGTACCACAAGAGTCTTACTTCCATCTCTTTTCATTAGCCCTGTCCAAACAGATTAGAATCATTCAGTGGAGATTCTACCTTACCCTGTCCCGCCTGGAACTAGGCTCCCTCTTGAAAGCTTGTAAGCCAGTCATCTCTTGCCTTTATAGTACCCCTATCTTGTGTAGCCAATGTCTAAGTTGCCCAGCCCTGCCAACCCTGTTTACTGACGTGGGGGGAGGGGGGGAGTGATCCTCACTGTAAAGATTTATTCCTTTTTTTAGCTATAACATCCACAAGTATAGGTAAAGTTCATCAAATTGTAGTGGGATACTTTTTTCCCCCCAGTCCTGGTGTGGCTCTGTGGGTTAATGTGCCAGACTGCAAAGCCATTTGAACTTCAAGTTGGCGGTTCAAGCTCACCAGCTGCTCCTTGGAAACCCTATACAGGTTCGCTATGGGTCGGAATCGACACAATGGCACTTAACAACAGTAACTCTTTTTTTCCCCTTCTTCTTCTAGTCGAGTTCTGATCATCCAGCTATTGAAGCCAGGTCAAATGGGTATTATCTGCAAGTATGGGTGTTCTTGTGCATCTCCCCTCTCTTCATATCAGCTGGATGCTTCTAGAGTACAATTCTTCATAGTATT